TGTTATCCCTATCTCTGTCTCAAAGATAAAAGGAAAGTTGTTGAAAGATGTATTAATTTCAAAGTTTTAACATGCCTAACGCCTAGACGGATTAAATGGGTCAAGGCAGAATCAAATATTAGTAAATTGGTTTATATTTAAAATTATTTTAGCTTACAAAAATACATTTTGTAAAACATAATAATTAGTATGGTTAAACATATATTTTTTTTTTAAATATAATAAAGACATGCTTCAATCCGTGTGCACGATGAGCATAACGAGCGACAATGGCAACATTTCCACCAACAAATATTGGATCTATTGAGTCATATAATTCGACATCAGAATCCGAATCCTCTGACTTGAGCGACTCGTGATTTGAGAGCTCGATGACGGGACTGCCATGAGGGATAAAATTTCAATGGTTGTGATTGAGGCCTCTTCGAAAAAAATCGGGGGACATTCATACTCGATCGTCCCTTCATCATCAAAACGAGGCGGACCCTTATATTCGGTCGACCCTTGCGTGTACGCAAAGGCCCTGAAAATTTGGGAATCTCGACACAGAACGATGACTACCAACACCGACCGTCGGCGAAATAGTCATCATCCTGTGCCTGAGGACCGAATGGAGTAAACTCGAAGATGGTATCTCATCCTCACCGTCTTCGACCCACGAGTGAGGCAACCGGGAGCGGGACGCCACGGTCGTGACCCCCGCGCATCCCACCATGCCCCCCATCGTGGGCACGGTTCGAGTGCTCTCCTTGAACAATTATATGAATGTCCTCGATCCCTGCATAAATGTCTGCAATTTCACGACCCATCGCCTCGAATTGTCGACCGAACGTCTCGACTTGGCGACTCAGAGTGTCGATGGCGGCATCGCCCTTGTCGTCTGCAACATCATTTCTTTGCGGTTGCATCGTGAATCGTCTCGATCTCTGCATATCAATTGATGTAGCGCATCGTGCGAATGGGAAATAAGAGAAGAGAAATTTCATTACGTAACTAATGCGTCGTCATGGATAATCTAGCATAGGTTCCCTACTTTCCGGTGTGCTTGTAATCTAATTCTATCACGTCTCCATAGATAATCGAGCTTATTAGGTTCCATGCCTTCCGCAATCCTTGTAATCATATTCTATGCCATTTCTAGTTGCAACAAAATTCTTTCTTGAAAGATTATTTATTTGACTTTCAATTCATCAATAATTTGCAAGATTTCCATTATATATATATATATATATATATATATCAAGGTTTTAAATAGTGGGCTAAAACGTTTATGACACTGTAGCTATAGCGGAGATTTAGCAGAATTTAGCGGCTAAATTGCACATGAATACAAATAGCGGCACGCTGCCAAAAAAAATTATTTCTCAAATAGCGGCAACTTTAGCGAGCTATTTATTTCCTTGATATATATATATATATATATAGGTTTCCTTAATCTAAAATCTTTGGTTCCAAAATGATGATATATGAACCATATATCTCACCACCTAAATAATGATTCGTTATTAGTGATTCCACAGATACCCTGTGAATGAATTGTAGATCTGGCGCCTAGCTTATAATTTTATTTTGTTTTAGGACCAAATAAATAAAATAAAATAGAAAGGGGGCAAAGACTAGAGAGTAAAGACCACAACTGAACCAACCACCCCAAATAGCTAGCAAGAATTTATTGCACCTGTGTCTGTGTGTGTGTGTGTACCACATGCTAATTACAACTCAATTCAATTTTTTTGCTCTATTTTTCTTTTTTTTTTTTTTTAATGAAATAATTGGACAAACAATACAATGTGACCAGCCAGTAAACAACTGTCCAATTGAATACCAATGAGCTACCACATATCCACCCAGCTACTTGCTCTACACTAGTAGTAGTAGTAGTACTGTCTTGCTTTTAAATTTTATATATTATGGTGGTCCGTCCATTTTCACAACCACATAATCCAGCATGCTTTTATTAATTCAAAGTTTTTTTCCTTTATATACACATACATACATTTATATGCATGCCTATATTCTTGTATCTTTTTTTTGCATAAACAAACTGGAATAAAGTCCTTCAATGGCTGCTGCGTTGTATTCTGTAAGCTGCCTTATTTTGGCCCTTTTTTTGGGCACGTCGACGACACAAGTGGAGGGTCGTGCATTTTTCGTGTTTGGGGACTCTCTTGTGGATAGTGGAAACAACAACTACTTGGCTACCACGGCTCGTGCCGACGCACCACCTTATGGTATCGACTTTCCTACCCGAAGGGCAACCGGGCGTTTTTCCAATGGCCTTAATATCCCTGATCTTATCAGTAAGTCTCTTGTTAATTATGAGCTAATAAAAAAATGGTTTACAGTGACAAACATGTTAGAAGGACTTAGACTCACATTTTACTTGTACAAGTATACTCAATCCAAGTTGGCCTCGTTTACTAGACTTGATACTATGGGATAAAGATGGTTAAAGGTTGGTTAACCAATCTTATCCCTCGTTTACTAAATAAGATTGAGATAAAGATACAAATGACGTTACATGAGTTGGCGCACGCGTGATCCTTGTTGGCGGGATAAAAAAATCCAGCCATTGGGATGTGATAAATTTATCATTGGTCTCAAATGACCTTTATATAAAAATATATATATATATATTTAATTTAAATAATTTTATTTAATTTCAAATAACATTATTTAATATATAAAATATTAATTTAAAGAATTTTATTAATTGAAAAAATATTATTTAATATAAAATAATTTTATTTAATATAAAATAATATTATTTAATAAAGTAAATAATAATTTGTTGTTAATTTCATGATCTGCAGGTGAGAGCATTGGGGCGAGCGAGTCACCTCTGCCGTACTTGAGCCCAGCACTGAATGGCCCAAGATTACTTGTCGGAGCCAACTTCGCATCCGCCGGCGTTGGCATTCTAAATGACACCGGAGTTCAATTTGTGAGATCATAACTAAAACAATATATCAAATTACATTATTAACCCTATCCTATTCATCAATTTATTATTTTGGCTTCGTACATGAATATAATAAATATATGAAATTCATCATCATATTACAATAATATTGAAATGGTGGTATTTCAATATTTTAAAATGATTCCCAAAGTATTATTGAATGTTATATGCACCTTCACAAGTTATACGACTAAAAATAAAGCCAAACCAATCTTACCAATAAATATTCTATTATTTATATTATATCATATCAACTTAATTTAAAATTTATATATGTTATAATCCCAAATCATCTCACTTTTTATTTTTTTTTCTTTTGTTTTTGTTTTCTCAAAATAACAATTTGAATGGAATAATAATTTTGTTTCATGCAGGTGAACATTATAAGAATCGGGCAGCAATTACAGTATTTCCAACAGTATCAGCGCAGAGTGAGTGGGCTTATAGGAGAGGTAGAGACCCAACGACTGGTGAACCAAGCTTTGGTTCTCATTACTTTGGGAGGGAACGATTTTGTCAACAACTATTATTTGGTGCCCTTCTCCGCACGCTCCCGACAATTTACCATCCCGAATTATGTCCCATATCTCATCTCCGAATACCGCAAGATATTATTGGTAATTAACTATGCTTTTCTACTAGTTAAATTTAAATTTGTCAATTAAGCATGCATGCATATATTAGATTACATATTTTCTCTGTTTCCTTCCAATTTCTCTTATATATATTTGCAGAGACTTTATGAATTGGGGGCACGAAGGGTATTGGTGACTGGTACCGGACCACTCGGGTGCGTCCCAGCAGAACTGGCGATGCGAAGCCGAAATGGGGAATGCTCGCAAGAACTCCAACAAGCGGCTGCCCTCTTCAACCCACAGCTCAATCAAATGTTGCTAGGCCTCAATAGCGAACTCGGAGATAATGTCTTTATTGCCGCAAATACACAAATTACGCATTATGACTTTATCAACAATCCTCAAGACTTTGGTACCTTCAATATATAATATTATTACTACTGCATGAATTATGTCAAAAAAAAAAAAAGAGTGCAATAACAATTTGATGGTTTTAATATTGCAGGATTTGTTACATCAAAGGTAGC